ATTGTGCGTTACATAAGACAAAGACTTAAGGCATAAAACACTGCCAAGACAGCCATTCTGCGTAGGCTCTAACGCGAAATTCATACGCCAAGTATTTTAAAGGCCATTGCACGTAACAAAGTTTTAGTCATAATCGTAAGGCCGTAAGAAAATAGACCAATCACACTCGATTATTCTCCTTGAGCTCGAAGAATAATCGAGTGTGATTGGTCTATTTTCTTATGGCCTTACGACTAAAACTTTGTTACGTGCAATAGCCTTAACATGGTGCAAAAATGAATTAATCCGTTTTGAATACATTAAAGCGTTATTTCGACTCAGACTGCATACGCGATGATCGCGCGGCACTTTGCACGACGCGCTCAACGACGGATTACGTTCGCGCACGTATCATTTACAGAGATATAATCACGATCGCACGCAACACGACACTCCGAAAATCACGGATCATTTTCTGCCTAATTGACGCTCGCTTCACTATGTAACGACGGGAGAACAAAATTCGCGAGACGCGCGCCAAAATTCACGACACTGCCGCGGCGACGCCGCGACGCCACACTTGTTAACACAAAGGGCACGCACTCAATCGCGTTTTTCGGGCCGATTACCGTCTCCCGTTACAGCAATCTTACTACGATACATTATTGTAATGAACGCACGAATAGATACTTAGATATACGAGTCGGAATCGAGACAGGTATCCGCAGGGTACCGTGCGCGAAAACATGACGGCTGCCTACTTGCCGAAGCGGATCGATCACTTCGATCGATAGAGGCTGCGGTCCACTTGACGCTACAAAAATGCTTCCAAGTATTCTTCTTCTCTTTTCTTTCAATGAAGAAAGAAGGAGAAGAAGAACGCTCCAAAGCATTTGTGTAGCGTCAAATGGCCCGCAGCCGGAATCTCGCGAAATACGAAATACGCGTCTCGAGAGGTCACGATGCGACGAACGTCGATCTCACGACTCGCAGTTAACCGAATTAACCGAAATCATGCTAATCGCGGCCGTACTTCCTTGTTAAAACGTGTCACGACGTTGCATCACTCGCAGCAGTCGCATCCTCCGGCCTGCGTCCTGCGACTACAACCACCCGCGACGACGCGACCACAACCCCCCACGACGCTTCCCTACTTGAAAATTTTTAAAGTGGCGTTAGCAACTTCACGATATTACGCGATACGATGTGAGTCAATTAGAGACTAAGTAATTGAGGTAAACCACTTAAAAATGTACGATCAAAAGCCAGTATTGGGATGCATATAAATTTTGATAATAATTACATAATTACATAATTACATAATTACATAATTACAGATAGAGTTATTGCAACGGAACAATAACATAAATTGCGTGAAATATTCGCAATCTATTGAATTATTATTAAAAAAATGGATTTAATTTCATCTTCTTGATTTATTAAAATTAAAAATTATCTATGTTTCGAATAATTTTTATTTTGCTATGAGTTTCGCGCTCCTATGATCAACAAAGTTGCAATTATCTGATGAGACGCGATATAAAATTAATCCAACATAAGCAGCATAAAAAAGTTATGTAATACACGGGCGAGACACGTACATTTTGATATTTTAATTAAAAGTATTTTTTATGTCAACTTGCAGGATTATCTTAAGAAATATTTGTAAGAAATGTATTTTTTCTCGTCTCTTGATATTAATACGAAGATTATATTATTATAATAATATAAAGATACTAAACTATTATAATTAATTAAAAAATACTACATATAATATTATATACATATAAAGATATGTATAATATATAATATATAACATACATATTATATTATAATATATACATATAAAGATTACATTAGTATAGGATTTGATGCTTTTTATACAATGCATTCATCCGCAAAGAGATTTATATTTGACGTTGTCTTGATTTATCACAGGATTTATTCCTGGCCGCAACGACAGGCATACCTACGGCATGACTTTCATGAAAGCCGTGGAAGTCGGTGGCAAAGAGTGGCACAAAACGCAAGCGAATCTGTGGGAACAGGACGCGATAAGGGCTCACGCTCTGACAGAGCGGACAGAGCCGACACATCTTCTATCTGGAGCGAGGGCAGATAATGTGGACTTTGAGACCGATGACGGTGATGGCAAAGACAGAAAAACCTACGGTACTTGCATATTACGTTGCTTGTTAATTTCTGTCATTTCTAATTTAATCTAACAATGCATATTGCGTTATTTCAAATACAATTAATTAATATTGTTTACTTCTAAAATAATAATGAAAATAAAAGACCAAGTTGAATAGATATATTAGAGATTAACAAAGATTTATCCAAAACTTAAAATACATAATTTATTATTCTGTTAAAATACATAAAATGCATACTTTTAATAATAGATTTTCGTAATAAAAGTGTTCTGATTATAATAATTGATTAAAAGATTCAAGTTCTATTGAGGTTCGAAGCGGAGCATCAAGTTCCAAGAACTATTGTGTAATTATTTTCGTTGCAGATTATAATGTCGACTCAGAAAAACCGCCGATCCCTGGTTATACAGGCCACATTCCAGGAGCGAGACTTGAAGTTGATCATTCCAAGGGGTACGGTGAATCCGCCCGGATAGGATTTCGAGCTGTCCAAAAGGAACGTGATGAGAGGCACGCCAAGGAGGATATGGGCTATTAAACGGCTATTGAACTTTCGTGTTATTTCATAAAAATGTATTTAGATATAATGGTATATAATTTTTACATTATTATTATTAAGGGGTTAGTCTACTCTAGATCGGGCAGAAACAGGCGAATTTTCAGGAATTAATTTCAGACAAAATATCGGTGATACATGAATGATTTTTTTTTTTATTATCTTTATTAGGGTTTCAAGAACATGTACCAATTTTTTGGTGTAAAAAGATTTCAAAATGGCGATGAGGCACTCCTTCGCGCGCAATTATGCTTTTCAAACGGTGTACATGGTTTCTGAAATGTGGGTGGTCTGAAAAAAAAATATGGTCATTAACTATATTGTATTGTCTTCGGAATGACGGAGCTTTTTTTCTCTCCTTGTTTTTGGCGTCAAGAAAAAAATTCTTGAATTTTTCACTGCATTTTTGAAAAATTCAGGAATTTTTTTCTTGACGCCAAAAACGAGGAGAGAAAAAAAGCTCCGTCATTCCGAAGACAGTACAATATAGTTAATGACCATATTTTTTTTTTTTCAGACCATTCATATTTCAGAAACCATGTACACCGTGTGAAAAGCATAATTGCGCGCGAAGGAGTGCCTCATCGCCATTTTGAAATTTTTTTACACCAAAAAATTTGTACATGTTCTTGAAACCCTAATAAAGATAAAGAAAAAAAATCATTAATGTATCACCGATATTTTGTCTGAAATTAATTCCTGAAAATTCGCTTGTTTCTGCCCGATCTAGAGTAGACTAACCCCTTAATGAAATAATTACAAAAATACGTAGAAAATAAATATTAGTATCGCATGATTTGATGTACACTCGGTATTATAATTCTTTCCTGTGTTCAACAATTACCTTCCGCGATGTGGCAGCCTACTCATTCTTTCCATTTCCAATTGCACGGTTTTCTTCCAGAATTCTATATCTAGCGTCGTTTGTCCATAAGATAAAGACATTAATCTAGCGAAAACCTTAATGCGTGTAGGTTGTCTGCATCTATATTCTTGTTTGCACTGCGCATCTTCACAAAATCGTCTTGGATAGTCTGAATATATAACAAAATAATATAAGATAATTAAATATATATATATAAAAAAAAACAAAGCCATTAAAGTAAATTGAATGAACATAGATATTAACGTCGAAAGAATCAAGCAAGTATGACATACTTTTGTGATTTCTTCATTAAAAACGAATTCTGCGTCCTTCAAGGCTTGTATGTACTGACCATAGAGATATAAGAATAGAGTGCGCGAGTCATATGCTCGCACGTAAGAGACTGCGATATAGGAATAGAAAGAGAACGCTGCATATGGGCCCCTGCTGTCTTTATCTATGCACGCATGCGTCTTTGCGCTGCTCAGTGTCTATAACGCATGTAGAGATATAACCTATAATAACGCATTTATGTTCTAACCTCTTGAACCCCTTTGAAAATATGTCCTTAAATAATAATTCCCAAAATTACCAAATTATTACAGCAAAGTACATAGTATTACCATAAAATATTACTTTTTTTTGAATATGGAATTGAATATGGAATTGTATATAAATATACTCAATATATATAATAATAAAACAAAATTTATTACATGTTGTTTATACAATGTTAATCATAGAATAGAATAGAATTCTATTCAGTCTTTTATTATTTAACACAAAAATTAAATTTTTTAAACACAAAGATTAAATTCTTTTAACACAAAAATTAAATCTTTTAAATCAGTCTTATTATTTAACACAAAGAAATAAAATATAAAAAAATAAAAAAATAAAAATTTTACTACAAACAATATAATATCAAATGCACATTATTAAATATTTATAAAAGTATACAGTTTTGCTATTGTCCACTGAAAATTAATTAAATTTTGAGGTTAGAGATATTAATATGTACTTACGTGTGAAAACTACAATTGGAATTAGGAGATGCTTCTGTTTTACATATCAAGCATTTCTTTGTCATTTTAAAATGTTTTTGCTTAAATAAGAAGAAGGTTAGCTAAAAACGACATAGAGATAGAACGAGATAAAACATCGAGAATACCGAGGTACAATCTTTCATGACCTGCACATCACTGCACATGCGCGCATAGACAAAGACAGCAGGGGCCCATATGCAGCGTTCTCTTTCTATTCCTCTATCGCCTTTTCAGCTCGCTTGCGCACTCTATTCTTATATCTCTATGGTACTGACGCATATTCGCCAATCGATTCTCATCTTTCAAATACTGATGTGCAGCTTCAACTACCTGACTTAGAGGGCCTCTAGATAGGGTATCTAGAGGCCCTCTAACCTGACTATATAAATTTTCCGAATCCGCATCGACATTTAAAATAATTTGAATGAAACACTATAAATGAACATTTCATTAGTTAATTTTCATAGAAAAAGAATAATATAATTTATGCTATAAATAAATACTTACAGGAACGAACGACTTCACATCAGAAAAGATTAGAATTGGAATGTCTGTTTCGTATTCCATTGTGTAATACTTAAAGTCGTACGTCAGTTTTTGAAACGTAAATAGATCAGAAAGGGCTTTATAATTTTCCTTGCCAGTCCCAGTAAGTGTACCGGTGGTTAAGCCTGTCTCGTCTATTACAAGGTGTGTATTATTGCTTAATTGGAGAATACCACTTGTCAATCTTGCATTCATAATCCTTCTTGAAAACAATGCGAATATATTCATCATACGTGATATATCGTGCATACTGACAATGTGCATTCAACGAGAGACAAACTTACTTCGGAATTAAAGCCAGTTCATTCAAATTTTCCAAAGTCATCTCCAAAAAGTGACTTTTTTTTACAAATAATTTTAGAAAGTTATAAAACTCTTTCGGGAAGATTTTGAGTTTACTAGCTCGCTGGAAAATTCGTTATGTTCAACGGAAATGTACCGAGACAAAAATAATCTCTTCTCATATATCTAAAAACATTACAAAAGATGAAATATTACAGAAATAACACACTTAGATGTATATTTATATAAAGGTATTAAAAAAATTACATTGTAGAAAGCAGGTGACATATCAAATAATCCGCAGCTAAGCTATCTCCAAATAGCAATTGACTTAATATTATGTGCAAATTACTCCTGATGAGCTGTGCTTTAGACATTATTTCCGGAGCATTAAAAATTTTAGGTTTTGTGAGTTTAATTATTTTTACTGTGTGTAACCGAGGTACTAGGGAAGCCGGTGGATTATGAGTATGTATTTCGGCTTCGTTCATTTTATCATCTGAGCCATGAATAGTACTTAATATTGGAGGAGATATATAAATATAAATAAAAAATATTAAAATGAAATTAATATCTAATAACGATTGTACCGCAGATCTACTACCAAATGCGGTTTGAAGCATATTATATAGTTCTCGATTGAGGACTTAATTCTCTCTTAAATATGGCTTCAAACCTCTTTGTGGTAATAATCCGTAGTATAATTATATTATATTAGACTAATTTTATTTTAATATTTTTTATTTATTTTATATATCTCTCGATTATATTATTGACCATTTGTTGTTGTTATACAGATTTAGTTACAAAGATTTAGATAATATTTAATAATATCACTCTTATTATATCTTTGAAAAAATTGAAATTATATATTGTTTATAGTATACTTATTATGTAAACATCAATAGAAAGTATTAATGAAAGTATATACAAAATGTATACGGGTATCTTTAAAGAACTTATTATAATTACTTTTTATTTTATTGCAAATTATCCTGAATACTTGATAATATTATATACTATCAGGTCGAGGGGAAAATTGATTTCAAATAAGAAAAATAATTTGTACTCAAATAAAATAAATTTAAAAAAAAATAATCATAAATTTTAATAAAATCTCTTACCTGCTTTAAAAGAGTCTTTTCTTGTCAATCTTTTTTTCGAAATCATTCAGCGCATTCTGAATACAAAAACAGCTTCGCTGTTTTCAAGCATTTTTACATCTTGCCAAGGATCAGATTGTACAAAATAGTCAATGCATTTGATTGTCGAGCGAATCGAACTTTATTAAATACGAATAGCAATAACGTCATCGACGAAAACTCATAGTAATAAAAACGTGTGAAGAACATTGTCATTCGACGGTGCAAACAATTCGCTCGACAATCCAATCCTTGGAAGGATGAAAACCTGCTTGAAAATAGCGAAACTACTTGTATTCAGAATACGCTGAATGATTTCGACAAAACGACAATAATAGCTGTTAGATACTTTTGTTCGCGTTCTATCATGATCAGCATCGGCATCAAATCTGGTAGTCTTTCTGCCGACAAACTTTATTTGTAGCAGATACTTTGCAAAATCTGCTTTCGACAGACTTGGCTGTCTGGGGAATTGATGTCTTCGGATGATATCAGTATCTGCGAGCCACTGAGTTTTTTAAAATGACTGTAAGAGAATAGTGAAAATTTTTTAGAGGCTTGTTCGAAGCCTAGCAGTATGGAAGGAGTCTACACGATTTCTAATAAAAGCGAGGATATTTGGAGAATAAAATTTACAGCCTGACTTTTGTGGCTAACTCCTAACTTGAGCTGGGGACTAATAGTTTCCTCTTTAAATACAGAGAGGTTCACGTGTGGCAATATATTCTCGGTGGGTCGCCATCACATCACCTTCCGAGAGGGCGAGAGGTGGCGATCGAATAAAAACCGACAATTTTTCGTCAGATTTGAAGGATCTCCGGCTCATTCAGCCTCATTAGACCAGTCCACATTTCTCTACGTCATGATCGCCATAATAGATTAAGAATAATATGTATACTTTCGCTTTTAGTACGCTCTTCTGTTAAGCCTATCATACAATACAAAAGTACAAGCAATAGCAACAGGGGCTCGATTTTTGAATTAATTTGCAAGAAAAACATATGCGCAAATTCTGCTCTTACAGAAACGTTGCAGGTTGATTGACTAAAAGCAGACACGCTGTTATATATAGACAATTATCACTATAATATAGAAATATTAAACAAATATATATGACTTTTCACATATCCATTGTGTGCATACAGATATCAGAATAATTGTAAATTACAAAATTAATATTGCAATGTGTGTATAAATTTAGGCATTGATTCATACACTTATATCGGATAATCGAAAACAATTTGGCATTATTGATTTCTATCGGGAAGGAATAGAACAGAATAAGTACACTACAAGTATGTGTAAACATTGCATTTATTTAACAAGAAAATTGGAATTACAAAAGGTTGTTTTTAGGCTATAAATTTAGAAGACCGTTTTATGTTAACTTCGATAGAAATATACTGCTGCGAATTTTTCTAAGTGATATAAATTCGATGCCCGCAAAATGGCTTTGCCATTACAATTTTTTTTTATTTTTATAATAATATATTGACAAGTTAAATTAGGCACTTAAGGAAATATTAGATACAATAGATGATCGTGTAATATATTACAAAAAGATATATATATAGTCGAATATCACATCAAAATTAAGATCTTTTCATCAGTCATTTCATCAGCCGAAGGAATATTGCAAATCATACACATGAGGCAAAATACATGTACATTTACTTCATATCTCACGTTTATCTTGCAAATTAACGGATGTTACTTGTTATTTATATTTTATTCGTGTATATTTGACGTTGAAGTAATCGTGATAATAATTTACTTGTTATATTGCAGACACAATCTTATTTCTCGAACATCATTTTCAAGAACACCATTACACATATGCTCTATATTTTTTTAAATAAAGATTAATCAGTAGAAAACTGACTTAATAAAGGAATGGAAATAGTATATCTCCCTTCAGCAAATAAAGAAAAGTATCAAGCTTGAGTGTTTCTTCTAACCAAGGATTATTATGTGAAAAATTGTTAATACAATGTTAATGGAAAATTAACATATTTAAACTTAATTAAATGTTACTTGTTTTCGATGTTAATAATTAATGCAGGAAATAACTTTATTTTGAGACAATTTTTGTTGACAAATGTCTTTTAATAAAATTGATAATTTAGTTCTACCAATTCACGAATATATGATTGTGTAACTATTAATTTATGAGAAAAATAAAATTGATCAAAGAATGAAGAAGCACTTTGTTGAGAAGTAAAGATTACATATATTCATTTATATTGAAAAACTTGTTTGTAGCTTTTCGACTTTTAACGAATTAGAAATCTTTACTCTAGCTTTTACGTATATGTACATCGTCGATTTATGTCCCGCTTCAGGATTAAGTTATAAATCATCCCACCGACATAAAGACATATTTTTGCCAATTTTAGGACAGTTACCAGAATTTAGGAAATTTTTTAATCCTTTTAAAAGAAACACAGTCTTGCTTACCACTATATCAGTCATCCATTGACTTTATATCTGAACAATATTATAAACGTAAATAATTAATTTTTTTCGAATTTGCAACATTTTTTTATTTTTATTAAGCCTTTTTTGTTTTTAATATTTTTGCAAAAAATAATACTAAAAGTTTATATATTTTCCATAATTCTACGCTCATGTGTATTTTTTTTTCTTTTTTTTTAGAAATAGCAACTAGAAAAATAAGTATACTACTTCCTTCTTCTTTTTATTTTTTTTTTATATGTAGTACTATAGAATATTATTTTAATATCAAATGCTCATTTTTTTATGGCTACTAATTTATAGTTTGAAACATTTTAATTTAAGAATATATTAATAACTATTTTTTTGTACCTGATAATCATTTCGTCACAGACGAAATTTCATTATTATTCTTTACTTTTTTCATGTATTTAATAAGTGATTGTTCATAATATCACGCGATGTACGATAGTATTAACAATAATTACGATAGTCGCACATAAGACACCATATATTATATATTCATTGATATTAAACGAATAAAACTTACGTATGAGATAATGAATAATATACATTGAAGAAATCACGTTGAATAATTTTGATGCAACAATTATTACTTACTAATTACTATGCTGTAATCGTGCAACTATTTAATTATCTACAAAGAAATTGACTAAAATGCAAAAAATTATTTCATTTTTATATAAAAGATCGGATGTATACAAATATCATTCTTCTCTTAACTTTAATATTGCAATACGTGCAATAAAGTTTGTGATTTATATTAAAGCTACAATCAGTTAGGCTTGCTTAGATCTCTCTAAATCTTTAACCAGATAATGGCGAAATAAATTCGCGATTAGATAATTTAATAGTTACACGATTACAGCATAGTAATTACTATTGTTGCGTAAAAATTATTTAATGTGATTTTTCCGGAATACATTGTGCATATTGCTCATTACCTCTTACATGAGCTGTTCATCTAATATCAATAAATCTAAAATATCTGGTGCCTTGTAGGCTATTAAAATTATCGTTAACACGATCTCTACCACGTGATATTATGAACAATGACTTATAAAAGAGAAGACGAAGAAATTAAAGAATAGCGAAAAATAACGAAATTTCGCCTGTGACCTTAAAAAATAATCAGATGCAAAAAAATATTCATTAACATATTCTTTATTGAGAATGTTTCAAACTATAGATTGCTAGCCATATCCCCAAAAATGAGCGTCTGATATTAAAATAATCTTCTATAGCATTACGCTGCAAAGTTTCTCATCTAATGCTTTGCGGCCTCGTTAAAGATTTAGAGAAATCTAAGCAAGCCCAACTGTTTGTAGCTTTAATATAAATTATAAACTTTATTGCACATATTGCAATTTTAAAGTTTGAATAAGATTGATATATCTGTGTATCCAACCTTTCACATCAAAATGAAATATTTTTTTGCATGTTAGTAAGTGCAGATAGTTAACATTTCTTTCAGGATGTTACATGTACAGTTAGTAATAAGTTACATACGCATTACTAACTACATATGTAACATCCTGCTTATGTATTTGTGATTTCCAAATCCTCCACAAAAAGAAAAAATAGGATATTAAACGGAGGACACATTTATACCTTGCCAATATTACAAATTATTTCAAAATAAGGCCTAATATCACAAGGTACTAAACACGTCACATAAGACGATCTTATCATTCTTCGTCACTTATCGTTAGCCCCCAATCGGTACCAATCATCATCAGACGCATCTCGTCAAACACATCACTTAAACTATATCTTCGTTTCAGTCTTGTATACGTAATATTTAATATGAATATAATTTTAGAGAACATGTCCGGATCATAGACCGATCTAGCTGTGTTAGTCAAGTCAAATGGCTCTATAATATTGCAATAGTGTAGATAAATGTCATGAAAAGTAATATTTTCGGGTATTTTTTACTTCAATATAAAGAATATTCATTTACCTTCGATACATAGATACTTCCATTGATAAGGATCATTTTTTGATGATTGCACCATACGACATTCTTCTTTTGGTATTTTGCTTGCTAAACGTACGGATATCGCATATTGGCTGAAGCTAATTTAACGGCAAGAGTTAAATGTCTGTCTATCAAAGTATCATCTAGATATTCTATAATGTTTATATTTGAAGTTACTTACTCAAATTCAACATAATATTTGAAAAATTCAAATAGTAATTCCCCAAGAGATTGATGATTCTCAGGCAAACGATTGGACGGTGGAATATTCAAATCCTCATGAATATTGATATTATAAATATCCGCATCCGGCCTAAATTTGTTTGCAAATATTGAATGCAAACATGGCAGAACAGGAGGATTGGTCCCACCTATTAAAGCAATACTCATATTCTAATATTGCAGAATAATCGGGACGCAAAAGAGAAACAGCAATAAAAAGTTTGTGGCATACATACATTGTAAGAAATGTATAACCATGAGGACTAAAGAGTAACTGGACAATGTCCTACATTTTGGATTATTGATATTATGCCATTGAGCCCAAAGTTTAACGACGAGCGCTAATGGTTTTACTCTCCAGTCAACTGTAAAGAACATTTATATAAATAGTGATTAAAATATTTTTTTCAATACATATATACTTTCAAATATATGCATACACAAAAGTTATTATTAAACTTACGTTTTGAATAACAATATAGTAGATGCGCGTTCTTGATGCAAACAGAATTATTACAATTCATATCAACTTTAAATTTCCGTGCTACATCAAAGAATGTTATAATGGGTACTTTTGCGTGTATCATTTCGAGTTGGTCAACGAAATCTGGATACAAAGAATGAGAAAAATATTATAAAAAATAAAATTATTATCATTGAACGATACAAGTGCATACAAGTACATTAAAATAAGTTTTTACATAAGAATGTTATGCAATATTTATAAATTTTACACACCACTTTGTTTAAGATGCTTTAGCACTTCCAGTAAATGTTCTATAGCTATACATCTTACATCCAATTCAGTGTGTTTCACTAAAAGACACACGTCGACGTCGCTATCATTTGAACCAAACCCATTCATTGTTGAACCAGCCAAAAATACACAACAATTTGGATATAAAGTCTAAAACCATTATTTTTTTAATATATATGGGTAAATAGTAAATATGATATTAATATGTTATTTTGAATTTTGTTTTTAAACATATCCTGGCAATATTTGACTTAGCAATATTTAGCTATATCAAGTTTTATTTCGCTCGTTCACTCTCTTCCTCTCTCTTATACTTTACCTTAATATATGTGTTGAGATGCTTCCACAGCATCATTTTCTTTTTATAAGTAACTTCAGTTTGCTGATGCGTAATAAATTTACGCCAAACTTGTTCGGACAAATCATCCCATGATGATCCAGTAACAAGATTCTTTGGCACAGAAGTTACTTGTAATAAATGAGATCTAGCAAGAAATCTATCAGGGGCGGCATTACATCCAGGAAACATATCGTAATGCGATACTTCAGAATATTTACGATTTCGTGGAAATCTTTGTGAAGCTGCATTTTCATTCTTTCCTGGAAATAAATTCTAATTAATTTGAAGTAAATTATTTTTTACTGCATTTTATAATTTCAATATATAGTATATTAACATATATTATTAGATAGAAAAAGAACTTATATATACCTAAATATCTTCTCCTGTTCTGATAATTTTGCACATGTGATCTCGGAGTAGAATTAGTAGTATCGTAATTACTGTTGGATCGTTGGGTTGGATAAAACTGATGTGCAGAGGCACTTGAAATTAAACCATCTGCTGTATTATTATATGTTCTATTATCTGGATGTGTTTTATGATGCTTTTTGCTAAAAATTTAATTGATTAAAGATTTAGATATACATGTATGTATGTATGTATATATTTGTGAGCGCGTGTATTTTAGATTTTTCTTATTTATTTTTTCTCTTAAAATTACAAAGATTTTACGCTTTCTTTTATTCCCCTTTCCATTTTATCTTATCTTACTATTAGTTTGTCTTATTATTTTTTCTATTCTATTTGTCAAATTTCTCTTACTCTTTCCTCTTCCCTTATTCTCTCTCTTATAGTTAATGATATAGACTTAAGATATAGACTTTATTTGAAAAAGAAAAAACAATAATGTCAGACAGTAACAGATAATTCTAAAAGTGTATGATAATTACTTTAACCATTGTCCTCTTACTGAACTTGTAGAATCTCGCTCATCTGAAGACTCTGTTAAACTATTGTCAATGTAATGTTTGTTTGGTGTTGGTGAACGAGAACTAAATCCACTATCACTATTATAGGCTTCATATTTCGAGAAATTCCTGTATGAACTCCGTCTGCTATTTCTGTTATTCCAGCTTGGTTTCTTTGTCGAATTAGGATTTGTGGGCTTGAAGTTATAGTTTGAGAATGGTATAATCGACGAGTTATTGGATGTATTTATGCGTCTTTCCCAATTTATAGAAGATGAATTATTGTTTGATTGCATGTATTCTATACGTCGTAATGATGGTACATCAACTCCTATTAATTGTAATAAATCCAGGGGAGATCCTGTCTGCAAGAACATTGTTTGTATATTTCAACAAAGAATAGAGATGTTATACATATAATAGAAAGAGTATGTAAAATAAATTCATAAATTAAAAAATCTCATTATACATAATGATATTTAATATATTAATGCATATTTATAAAACTCAGACGTTTGATAAAATTCGTTCAAAAAGTTTGAATATATTATCAAAAGTTACATGGAAATTTAATTTCTAAATAATTAACTAATTACAGTTTTATGTAACTTTTAAATAAGCTCTTATTTACCATATTTATATCATTGACTCTTCTGTTATTGTACTGTATTTGAGAAAAAGTATATTTAATCACAATAACGAAAAGATGCTAATACATATACATTTAAATTTAATTTAAAAGATTGTTTAACATGTACCTGTATCGTACGATGCCTGTTATGTCCAGAGATATTCGGGCCATATTGTGGGAAATCAGATTGATGCAATGCATTTACACCGTTAATATGCAAAGTGTGATTTTGTGCTGGTGGACATTGTCCATTTGTTTGGTGTCCTCCCATTATTTGCACCATCATTTGCGATGGAAATACAGTATGATACATAGTCAAAATAGGTATACGAGATATTGGAAGATCTTTTTTGGATTGACGTTTATTTCTTTAATTCTTAATATAGCAATATATTGCACTTAATAGCATTCATAGATGTTTGTAGCAATCAATAAGGCACACTATGTTATTATTATTAAATGTATCTTGCAACAATTGATATTTCATCAAATGAATGTACACATGTCTACATGTACTTAGGAAAGCTTCAAGCTTTTTGTTTTACTTTTCTTTCTTATTTTTCCATTTATATATATTTTGTCTTTTTATTTTGCAGTTATTTTATTTTTTTATATTGTAGTTTTGCAAGATATTATGTTGTCTTTTGAGATCTTACTATGTAAATCTAAAAGTTAACAACATATATATATATATATATAATAATTCAACAGTAATGCAAGGAGACAAGACTGTATGATAATGAAATTAGGAATTCAGAAATAACGAGACACTACAATTCACTCTGTCTATCTCTTGTCATCGAATTTATAAATATATATGTGTGTGTGTGTGTGCATGTGAAATATACAGAGCTGTGAAAACAATTGTAATGTAAATTAATAATTGCACTTAACAAACAATAATTTCACCCACATATTCACCAGCATTGCGTTAAAGAAAATTAAATTCATGATATGAGGCAAACAAAACAGCCTATATGTTCTCAATCAACTAGTATCAGATTCTCTAATCTCAAAATTAAGTTACTTATATTAATTCCATGTATACAACTTTGCCTGTGCAAGATGTACGCTTCTAAAGTTTAGTTTCCAAATGTTTTCGTCATTTAATGTGCCTTTGTTCCATTTATCTCTCTTTTCCTCTCTTTCTCTCTCTCTCCCTCTTTCAGATCATACACAAGATACAATTTGCTTGTTCTATCACAATCTCCTGAAAGAAAAACAGTATTGGAAGCCATTTTGTAATGTACTATTGTGTAAAAACTTATTGTAAAAATTATTTAAAAAAGACATAAATATAATGGAATTATTTTACAAAATATGTTAGAATAAAATACTAAAATATTTGTAGTACTTTTAGTACTTTTTATAATAAACTTGTTAAAATATAGGATGTTAGTAACTTGTTATAGAATATTACAAACAAAACTAAAACATACATATATAGAGACGGAACCACCATATGGGATGTTGGGGACGGACGGACGACACATATAAATAAATATAAAAGTTAATAATCAAAATTTATTCTAATCACATGTACATATTTGTGAATTTCCTAAAGAATTACAAATACAACCAGTATACCACAAATATATACAGCTTTTGGAATTTGCAAAACTTAAGAACTGCATCGTATGTATAATACATGAAATAAACATCTATAATGCACAATAAACATTAAAAACAATTTTGGACAAATATATAATCTGAGGATTACCTATCCGGAACATGCATGAATAAATGTAAAGGATAACAACCACAATTTATTCTAATTTCAACACATACCAATTTTCTATAGAACATTACAAATACAACCACAATTTGTACAATCACAAACATATATATAACTTCTGGAGCTTGAAAAACTTGAAGACTGCCGCACCATAATAAACATTAAAGTAACTTTTGATAAATATAAGTATATTTTCCCCGATTTTCTTGAAACTCGCGTGTATTTCATGTATCTCCAAAGTAGAAATCAAATCTGCTTGAAAAAATTTTCCCTCTCGTCCAGTGTATTCTTAATCGTAAGCATATTTTAATATATAACATTATAAAACTCTTTTAAAATCAATATATGTATCTGTGCGCTTGTTAAAAGCCTAATCTTTTTTTTTTTTTTATAAAGCGTCAAATTTTTGTAGATCGACATTTTAAAATTCAGCTTATTCGTAAAAAGGTTGATTTCCCAGGAAAATCATTTAAAAGAGCTATACATTACAAATACACATATACATATGTGCATACGTATATACGTATATAAATACATGTTCGCGCACGCGCACGGGTGATTTTTTAATAATTAATCAATAAATTCTTTACATATTGAAGCTTTCTCCGAAAATCTTAGCTTTATATAAAATGCCAATCCATTGTTATATCTTCCGTTAAACTTGGGATACGTTATCGGTATTATCGGTAAATAATATATTGTATTGTATATCTCGCTGGAATTGTAAATCCTTTCAAAGTCGATAGGCACGAAATAAACATCTATCTGTCTATCATAAAATGCCAATTTACACACACTTGACGGCCTATAACAGGAGGGCTTAACGATAATTAATCTACGTACACGTTTATTGCCGAGTTAAAGATGATTGCTCCTCATTAAACAGTAGCTTTCATTCAGATATGCTTGTAAAAGAGACACTTTGCTGCGTTAAAAAATACGTATGTGAAAAAATATAAAGAGACCCTAACAAAGAGTAAAAAATAAACCTACCAAAAGACGAGATGGACAATTTTCTCGAGCGAATTTGGTTTCTGCGTGTCGAGAAATAAGTAGGTACGCAGGTACGCATGAAACGTGCGAGTTTTAAAAAGGGCCAGAGAGGGGATGATTCTCACGGCGAATGCGGTTCACCTTACTAGTCCCTTCACCATTTGCGGACACTGTAATCGGTACGTTTCCTACGGGGATTCGCGCGTTCACGGGGAAACTTGCGCGCGGGTAAAACGTCGAAAATGATGCTTATTAGAGTCGCCAGACACCCTTGCCGAGAGAACACGCACGTTCTCCACGGCATTCCAAACAATCCGAACTACCTGCTCAAGTAGACACGTGTACACGGACCGTGCCGCTGCGCCCGTGCCGTGTACAGAGGCACGCGGACAACACCAGACAACACGAAATATTTTCCTTCGACTTCGACAATACGGCGCGGGGAGGGGGTCGCGAGGAGCGGCAGCCGGCCGGCAGCGGAGATCGAGAAAGCAGGAAAGCGGCCGGCCAAGGGGGTGAGAAACGCGGCGCGGTCGCGTGAGGCAGCGTGAGGGAAGAGGGAGGAGGGGGGAACACAAGGCAAGGATCACGAGGAAGAAGATGCCGGTATACCTGGCCGTGATCGCCATGTTGCCCTAATCTGCCCTCAGACGAACTCGGGGAAATTTGCGGGAAAGAACTACCTTCCCAAGATCCCAGGAGTAAGGCTGCGCTCTCCCGATTAATACGGCGCGAAATCGGAGACGCGATTGTCGCAGGATCGTTTTTATCCGTGGTCGCCGTCGCTCGATCTCTCGAAATTTGGCAGCTGGATCCTCCTCGCGGGAGCGTGCGTCCCGTCAACGATGAGTGTCTCTCCGCTGATTACTCCACGCCTCGCACCACCTCGCACGCGTCCGTTATAGCTGGGTTAGCCCCACTGACCCCCACGGTTGACGGTGACTAGTGGCTACCAACACAAATCACCGCGCACCAACTAATCTCGTTAGACGTTTAAATTTTCAAACCCTCGGAGCAATGGACGGTCCCTCTCTCGTTTCGCGTGCTTGATGACTCGAGACTCGACCACGAGGCGGCACTGGCGGCAGCGTGATCATCTGATCTGATGTATTATATTATTGGTATTTGGAGATGTAACATACATATTCAAGCACGAAGCAACGAATATAAATGTAATAGCGCGTATGTACATACAATACAAAAAGAGGGTGAGGAGAGGGAATGTATGTACCCCGATTCACGATGTTCGGGGATGCTTGCACATGTGCGGTAAAGCGAGCACTAGCAGACGATATATTAAACCCTCGGTCAGTCGCGTATATACTATATTGTAATGAAAAGTATCGTTAAATCTCCCTGGAAAATTGGAAAGAGAAAGGAAATGTTAAAAATAATATTGAGAAATCTCTTTTATAAAAATATATTACAATTTATCGGGTGGAAACAATTAAATTTGTTCACGTATACTTACATATACTTGTTACATATAACATAGCGATACAAAGCAATAATTTGCGGGACAAAAGGAAAAATGCGAGAGCGCGTTTGCTTTCAAACCAAATTTATTTTTCCATAAGATTTTACAATAAATTTCAGTATTATAATCTGCTATTATATTAGCGGTGCGCTGTTGGTCGGACAAGAGAAATAAAACAATTTAGTGTCGTATAATGCAAGTTTACATTAATTACCACTTAATCTATTGCAATATAATAAATTTATATTACCGCCAGAAGCCAGTACAGACAGACTATAAAATTGGAGGCAGGGATTTTGGAAGCAACGGAAAGGCGATCCGAATAAAAAATGTACAGACATTCCGGCCTACACGCCAAGTATAAGACATTTCGAATGGTGACAATTTACTTGATACCATTACGGATAATGGCGATGTCTGAAACACACAATTAATGTAGTCACGTAGGATTTTTGCGGTGGCACGCACGTGCCACATCCAAAAAAAAAGCAAAAATCAAGACTTAAATTTAATTGATTATCGTTCGCGCATTAACCCCTTCGCTACGAGAAGCCACTGTCTTATAGCTCGCTGGGAATCTTTTCCCATGTAGACAGAGACAATTCGATGGCTCGTCAAATCCCTAAATAAATTTCAGTAATTTCTTACTCGTCGATTCATGATTATATTTCTATCATACGTTAACGTGTCCGACGCGATGAAATCGTTACACCTCGATTTGTGAACGTCGGAAGTATAGTACTCTTAAAACAAGAGTAGCGTTTTGCCCAACCGCGCAGTTATCGCTCGCCGTTGCGAAAAGGTTAAAGAACGACGTGTAAGATCGACACACGAAGGAAAGAACGAATACAATTTTGATAAGCTGTGCGTCTATACTGTTTCTCGGTCACGTTTGACCTAGCTAGCCCATCCGCTAAGGACTCTACCGAAAGAAAGCAATCCTTCCAATCGTGCGCTCCGTTGACCCCTGCGGTAAAATAAGCAATAGATATAAAATAAGGAAGAAAAAAAACCTAATCAACATGATCAAAAACCACCGATGAATTTCTCATGACCGGCGGAGGCGCCGGACCTCTGAGAAAGGGATGTCCCATCTCCGTGATGATGTTGAAACGTTGGCTTCGTACTGTCTGATGATGATGCAACATTGGCGACTCCCATCGACAAAATTCCGCCGGAGAAATCGACGATATCGACTCTCAATGTGTGTGTGACGTGCGCCCACGCGTTTCAAGGGGGGAACAAGTTACGTATGGTGTATATCGTCTCCTCAGCTCGAAATAACGGTGGGTACATAGAAATTGTACGAATACAGTGTAGTTTTTCTTAATTTCCTTCCTGCTTTTTCCATTCGGTTCGAATCCGTCGAATCCGTGACGAAGTGGAAAAAAGCACGTTTCGGTGCTATTGCGATCCGATCTTCCGTAGCACGTAGACTGCCAGAAAGATCTTTCAAACTCCCTCGTTGTAGGTTGTAGGTTTATTTGAGCGTGACATTGGCACACTCGTCGAATTCGGTCGAATCGTGAAGCGATACACTTCCATTTTATGTCCTATTTCTTTCTTTTTTTTTTGTCATTTTCGTTCCTTTTTCTATTTGTTATAGCGTCACTCGGATCCCCGCGATCCCTGCGTTGACAGTAAGCACGTGTCACGGTTAATTGACAGTAGTCGTTCATCGTCCTCCAGTCTGCGTGATGTCCTTCTCTGCCCTCTGTTGCACTTATTACAATCAGATACATAAGCCTTGCGTTTTTCCGCGTCCACGGTGGAATCCTCCAACGGCGAATTAGCTTACGGAACCTTCGTTCTCCTTTCACTCCCCTTACCTCACGTCGACGACATGAGCGTATGCTGCATAATATCGTACTCGATCGTCGAGCCGTCGTACCGTTTTGCGCAGTTAGTGATTTGTGGTTGTTGGTCGAAGAAGAATTGGTCGAACGAGCCTTCATGGCATGGCAATTGCGTTGCTCAGCCGTAGGTAAGTTTCGGCTCAGTAGGGCTGCGAGAACTGTCCTCCGGCTTGCGACTGGCCCGACTGGTAGAAGCCACTTCGGTCGCCCTGATAGGTCGAGTCCTGCGACAGCAGGCCGTCCATCTGCGATTGAAATTCGCCGACCGCGAACGAGTCCTGTGAGAGTTCCGCTTGACTGAGGCCAGGCTGCGAAAGACTGAAACCGGGTTGAGACATGCCCTGAGTCGTGCCCTGCGTCAACGGCAGACCTGGTTGACTGTACGGCTGCGTGTTTTGCTCGGTTTGACTCAGTTTACCCATACGCGGGCCTGACCGGTTCCTCGCCGAGGCGGTGGCGCCGCGTCGATTTTTCTGATTCTGGCGTGCCTGCAACGCTTGCTGATGCTGATTGTAGAAACGCGGCGGCACGTGCGTCATATTCATAAACATGCCAACCGGCACGGGCATGTTGTTCATCGCCGCCTGCGCCCGCTCCGGACTGATGTAACTTATAGTGTCATGCGTACGGTTGAAAATGTCTACCGACACGTTTCTTTGGTAGTACGGATTGTGGTTCTGCGTGCCGTTCACCTGTGCGCCCGAACGATCGTACACCGATCCGGGGATCAGGGCTTCGCGCGCGTCGTACATTGACGTGGACATGAAGTGCGAGCCTGGATTAGCCGCGTTCACAAGTTTCTTTGGCTTAGCGAATTGAATCATGGACTCCTTCAGATTGTTCAACGGCCCTTCGACCAGCACCTTCTGCTCCTTGTAAAAGCTGAGCAGGTGGTTCCAGAGCGGCTGCTTCGAAAGTACCTTGGGATTTCCTACGATAATGATGCCGTATTTTGCGCGAGTCAACGCCACGTTCAATCTTCTGGGATCATTCAAAAATCCAATGCCCTGATGCTCGTTGGATCGTACGCAGGACATTATTATTATATCCTTCTCTCGTCCCTGAAAAGCGTCCACACTCGCCACTTCGATCTCTTGATACAATTTCGAGTGCAGGGAACCTTGGTACTGCATATACTGCACAAGATAGGCCCGTTGACCTTCGTACGGGGTTATCACTCCAATCTGTTCCGGTTTCACGCCGCAACGTAAGAATCGTGTCGTTATCTTTTCGACGTTAGACGCTTCGGTACGATTCAAGTAAGATGTCCCACTTCCAGCTATCTCTTCTTGACCTTGCGTGACGTAAAAGAACATTGGCTTGTCCGGTGCAGGCCAGGGAAAGTCGATTTTCAATAATTTTCTCTCGTCGGCGCAAACGCCATTCTGCAGAGACCCTTCGTAAAAGAAGTTAGATGGAAATCGTGACAGATCAGGATGCATACGATATTGTACTTCTAAGCGGAACGGTCTAATTCCCAACACCACCAGCCTTTCGAACAAAGATTGAGATAAACCAGCTCTGGCAGCTTTCTTGCACATCACCACCGGGCCTAATTGGCAGTGATCTCCGACGAGGATTAATTGTTTCGCTCCTAGAACAACTGGTACCATGCACTCCGGTTCGGTAGCCTGCATGCTCTCGTCGATAAGTATAGAATGGAACTTTAATCTGTGCAATCTTGGATCACCAGCGCCTACGCAGGTGCAACAAATTACATCGGCCGCTTCCAGAAGCTCCTTTTCCGCCGCTTTCTTCAAGAGTCTATAGCGCTTCTCGTCGACGCTCGACAATTCGCCTGTCTCATCCTTCAGTTGTTGCAACTTTTGCAACTCGGTGTTCGTCTCCATGTTCTTTATTTGATTATGTAGAGCGAGGAAACTCACTGGCGAATCGATGGCCTCTCGCGATTTGGCACACAATCGTACGACTTTCAAACTTGATTTATGTATCTTTTCGGTCAATTGATCGACAGCGGTGTTCGAAGGAGCGCATACGAGAACAGGACCACCGTTCTGTTTCACCAATTGATAAACTATAGTAGCGCTCGTCACAGTTTTACCTGTTCCTGGTGGTCCTTGGATCAGGGATAAGGGCCGTTGTATTGCGTGTTTCACAGCGTACACCTGCGATCTGTTCAAATCAGGTAGATTCGGTGCGCTAAAATGTTTAGGAAGATGACAACGGAATAGAACCTCTTCTACTTCGTGTCCCAATAGTCTGTGATATATGTAAGCTGACACGGATGTATCATCCACAGCAAATTTGCGTAACGCGGATTGCATCCTGTAATAATATAAAAATACTTATTAAAATCATAAAATTATATATAGGAAACAATATTGATGTATTGCAAATTTGTCTACATCTTACCGATCAAAACTCGTGCTTTTCCAAATAAAGTCAACGACAAAGTTGCTAATGCATTCCGTCGGCGCTCCAGAATTGTTTTTCAGCTCAATTCCAACTTCCTCCCCGTAATTGTCGGGAATCTTAATCACGTGTCCAATTCCAGACCAAGGCTTATGTAGTTCTCCCAGATAACGGAGCCTCAATTCATCCCCATGCATCAATTTCATATCTCCGTCCGTTTTGGCCAGCATAAAGTATGCGATAGTCTTCTTGTTCAATCCAACGTCCCATCGTACTTCAATGTTCTCTTGAGTTTGAGATTCTTTCAAGCGTTTATCATAATCGGCTTCCAATTTCACAAGTGGACCAAAAATATTTTGATACTGATATCCGTCCTCGTAACGTAACAGAACCTGCTGCGGTTCCTCGTCTACTCCAGGCTTTTCTAAATCTTGGAAAGTAGCGTCAACATTGTCTCGCCATAATTCTTCCAATTTATTAATCTGTTGCGCAGAGATCTGCCTAGCTCTTAACTGTTCTTGTTCGGACGGAAATTTCACCAACCAGGACAAAAAGCTGCGATCTTCGATCAAAGGCTTCCATTGCTCTTGATCCCTGATTATATTCGAAAAGTATTAAAATATATTTGTATATGATACATGTGTATACATTTATATTATCCCTCGAAAGCCACACTGGGGTCTCAGGGACCCCAACGAAATTTTGAAACTACATTTAGAACTATCATTTATATTTTGTAATGCATATTTTTTTGTAATAATTTTTTTTTACAACTTCTGAGTGTTTTTTACTTCATCATAATTTTCAGAAAATTTACAAACCTAACCGATTGGGAAAAAAACATTACAATACGTTGATTTTTTCGAAACTTATGAGTGAAAAATGGCTGGAGTCCTCTAGATCCCAGTGTGGTTTACACGTATACAAAAAGAAATAAGTGTGGTCTACGAGAGGTAAACTCAAAAGGTGTTGATATCTATATTAAATATCTATATTAATTGATTCTATATTGACATTAAATACATAAAATATCTTGGTTATCTTTGTACATAATATATATGAATAACGAGATGAATAAAGAAAATTTGTTCTTACCAGTTCATATCCTTCAAAGAACTCTGTGCCGCGCACGGTTGGCGGCAGAGTAGCACGACTACGGAATCAGCTTTAGCAGGAATAAAACCCAATACGAAAACATTTCTCGTGGCACAGGAATAACATTCCAAAACGGTTTCCCCAAGAGGGCCATCTCTGCAACAAGTTAATGGATCTTTACGTCAAATAGATTCGTAAAAAGATACGCTATACATCTGTTCAATGCATCCTAGAGTCCTTCTAATCAGAGTCTGACCATACAGCAGCAACTTTTGATTGGTTCGCCATTTTTTGGGAAAAGCAAGAGAACAGAAAGAGAAAGAGATATGAATGTATATCCTTTGATATATCGCTTTCTCTTTCTCTCTTATATCCTTCTCTCTCGCAGAATTTGCAAGTTGGCCAGACCCTGATTAGAGGAACTCTAATGCATCCTTGTTATCTCCTTTACGTCAACGTAATAAATCACCTGTGTAAAGTGACCTCCTTGTGTTTAGCACGGACAAGATGATTGATAATATGGGATCCAGACGTATTGCCACGTCCATTGCAGAACCACTTTCGGCAGACGTTGCACATAACCACGCAGGACGCTTCATGGATACCGCAGTATTTACACGCATATTCAGGCAAATCGCGGTTATAGTACGCTTCCTCCTCCTCCTCTTCAAATTGCAACTCGGCGAGACTCTGAGCTGCTCCGGAAATCTTCAGATCCAATGACGAGCTGCCATTCGTACCATTAACCACCTAAACGACAATGCGTTGCAGGAGCATTAGAAAAAACCATCAAAATTGGAGTAAAATTTAAAAAAGTGCAAAGTTTACAGTTATTAGAAATAGAACGACTATTTGATGCATGCGAGTAGAGAGACTTTTACACGAGAATAAAATCAGAAAAGCATAATTCTTTCTATAAGAGATATACTGTAGCGTCTTTCTCTTTGTCGCCACGTAGCGCAAAAATCCTCTCTTTATCTCGGAATTTTTTCAATCCGGATTCCGGAGAAATTAGTTTATCGGGGTTAAACGCATCGTCATATTTCTCTTATCTCGCGCCGCCTCCAATGCCAAGCGTCCGCTCCGTCATCCTCGTTACATTTAAAGGCGCGGAAGCGGACTTGCGTAACTACGCGGAACGCTGGAGCGGCGGCCGCTGGCCGCACCTAACCTCCTCGCCGCTCGCAGCTGGCGCGAGGGAGCGACGGGGGTGCTGGGTGCTGCCGTCCCGTGCTTCTCCAGCGGGCGATCAAGGTCACGCCGACGACGTGCGCCCGCCGGAAGTCCCAAACCCAGTTTCCACGAGAGAGGGGAGAGGAAAAAGAAAACGGATGCGGGGTCAGGGAGCAGAAGATGAGGGACGGAGCGGGGGAGAGAGAGAGAGCCCACCCAAGACAGCTCCGCTTTACCGCTGCACGCGCGACTTGAAGGTTAGGCCGCGTGGTTTGCCTCGAGGCGAACCCCCGGGAGGCCGTGGGCGTCGCGCCGCGAGAACTCGCGTCAAGGAAACCGTCGGGGAACAAGGGAAGGGGCGGGGGGGGGGGAAACACGCATTGGCTGACGAAAACTAACCTGAACGGGTTGATTGGACTGCGTCTGGGTCGCGTCGTGCTGCGAGGCCTGGGTCTGGCTCGGTAGAGTGAAGTCGGTGAAGTCGAACTCGCTGCCCTGCGTGTCCGCGCCGATCAGGTCGGTCTCCTCGGTGTCGAGGAACGTGAGGGTCTGGCTGCTGGGCCCGTACGCGTCGACACTCATCCTGGCGCGATCCGATCTGTTCTCTCGTGTCTCTTTCTCTCTCTTTCCCTCTTTCTCTCTTCTCCTCTGCTCCTTTCTCTTTCTCTCTCTCTCTTTCACTCACTCGCTCTCTCACTCTTTACGTCTTACGGTCTCCGCGCACTCCCCCGCTCAGCGAGGACAGAATTAGCGGGTCGCGCGCTGCTTACTCGCGATACGCGATACGCATTCAATGCGAGCGTGACAACGCGACCCGTCTCACCCGTGAGGAGCGCGAGCGAGCGCGACGTCGCGTGCGACGCGCGATGAGACGGAGCTGCACAGACACACGCGCGCGCGCGCGCGCGCACGAGGGAACGAGGGCCGCTCGGCCACCGACCACGGGGAACGGGTTACCACCTCGCCTACTCCGCTTTACGCCGTTAACACTAACGTCGCCGTCGCCGCTCGCGACCGTACCGCGGAACACACACACACCTACACACCGAGAGCACAACAGCGCACGCAATTTTCGTCCCGCACGCGTGAACGCTCGTCGTATGTTACGTCATCAGCTGATCATGTGAGCGGTAGGCGAAGCAGTGGCGAACTGGCGAGCACTGGCGAGCGAATTAGCGAAGTAGCGAAACGGAAGCGGCCCTTCTTAGGGCCGATCTTATATGGGCAAAGTGGGAACACGAGGACACGCGCGGGCGTACGACCAATGGCGGCCCGAGTCGCCGCGAGGGTCGGTAAAACTATTGGACGAACGTGTCGTCATCGTCGCACAGATGGCAGCAGCCGGCTCGTAAATTCTAGTAAATTTGAAATTTGAATACATTGGTAGAAAATAATGGACATTGATGGACCAGAGTTGTGTGTCGATATAACGACGGAGCACCACGACTTTTTCAAGGTTTAGTTGCCAGCTTTCTAATTATATTTTCTATTTTAAAGATATCGAGTTTCATGAAGCTGTATATCCAATCAGTCTGTATTTACGAAATATATAATTCAAATTTGGGCTCAAGATTCTAAGAATCACTGGTTTAAGTTGTGGGATGAATCGTCTCGTGCCACCGACATCAAGATTATTTTCCCCACCCCTATCGCACCCGTGTAACTTTAAAACCAAAATGCTCAGACTAGTATTTAAGGAGAGTTTACCTGCATTTCACACAAAGCTGGACGCTGTGATGCTTATCGGTACATCAGACTTGATCCTTTCTAGAAATGCTAACGAGAGTTTAACTAATGTGTTAAAAAGAATTAACATCATGTACTTTCCACACCACGACGATGTTCATAATTTAACAGCAGATTTAAAAAGTGCACACTTGGATATAATTCATCTGCAACAAAATTTTCCTGAATATTGTGTTATTTATAAAAGGTATTATCGTCGACGTTAGGTAATATTTAAATCTTTTTTTTCCATTAATAATGCAAATTAATTTGTTTTTTCCGTGATATTTGCAGCGATATAAGAATAAGTGTTTCTTATAAGAGTAATTTGAGACACAGAGAAGCATCTCAGGAGATAATTTCTGGTTATGTGCAACCTCTTGGACAGAGATATTCGCGTCGTATTTTATTAAAAAGTTATTTAAATTATGCCAAGCGTATAAAACTCTCTTCGGATAAATCCAAGGAGCTATCACTCAGTTTGTCTGAGCTTCCTGTAAAGTATTCCAAAAGGCAAAAAGTCTATTTCTCATAATAATATTTATTGCAATGTTATCCGCGTATTGAAGTTTTATATTTTATCTTTGTAGGATAAAATACTGCTAAAAATATTAAAAAACTTAGATTGGACGGCGTTATGCCGCATGAGTGAAGTAAATTGGCGCTTCAATAATTTAATACGGGACCCTGAACTCTATACACGTTTAAATGTGCGATGCGTAACTATAACGCGCACTATATTTCGTTACTTTTTAACTAGATGTAAATATTTGCGACAGTTAAGCCTGATCTACAATGTGCTCTTTGCTTCCTGTTTTTTGCTCTTAACCTGTTTGCGACTATCCCGTATTTCGCAACTGCGTCGCGTAACGCGATGTTTTTTGTTCTCTGTCGCCTAAGATGAAAATTGACGAACTTCAGAAGAGACAAGAAACATCACGTTACGCGACGGAATTGCGAAATACGAGATAGTCGCAAAGAGGTTAAGAGCAAAAAACAGAAAACAAAGAGCACATTGTAGATCAGCCTTTAGATCTTACAGGAAGCAACTTTGATGTTAATGTTTTCATAAACTTTCTTGATAATTGCGGCAGGCATTTAACGCACTTAAGATTAAGTGACTGCTATGCGCATTCTGTTAACAGTCGTGCTGTACTTAAAATTTCAGAGATATGCAAAAATTTAAAAGGTATGCATGTATGTATACGTATGTATATTATATATGTAGATTGTCAAGATTACGATTAAATTAATTGCATATATCCAAAACATATTTTTTTTTTTTTTAGAATTGGATCTATGTTGGTGTTATATATGGCGTAGACGTACTGTCCTTACTAATCGCAATTTGGAATTGCTAGCGCGGTGCAAAAACTTGAAAAAGTTATATCTTCATGATATTGATACTATTGATAAACCTGAAAAATATTCCGTCATTTTCAAACAATGTCCTAAACTACAAGAGTTTTATTATCTCATACCGTGTAATATTAGCGATAGTTTATTTAATTATTGGAAGAAGAAATATCCACATGTGTCTGTCTATACGTTTTATTGAGATCTCAAAATCTCTGGTATTCGCAATTTGTCTATTCGCGTAAAGGTATCAAGTGACACGGGGCTCGTGCTGCGCGTGTACTTGGCGCGAGACACTATACCGTGTCACTTGATATTAGAAAATATATAGACAATTTTGAATAAAATTTTATATATAATTAGTATATAATTAGAAGTTTAATTCTTCTTTTTGATTCAAAGGATATTGATCTGCCGACTTCAATTCGATCATCTTCTAATATAATCTAAATGCTCATGTAACATTTGTCTCCCACATTGCTATTATTATCTATCGCAATTGATCTATCTTAATCTTGGTAAACATTGTCGAATGGCATTCAAACCGGACACAGCAATCTACGATAAATTTAAATTTAATAATCAATACGAATTTTTTTAATTTTAATGAAAAGATAAATTATATATAATACGTATTACCTTCAGCGTTCCAATTTGTCTGTTTCGATTATCCTTAATCGGCAATAATACATGTTTGCACTCATCACCAAGCGCGTATTTTTTTATATTGAAAGTTACATAACTAGAAGGAAAAAGTAGAAATCCAGTTATTAAATATTATATCTTAAAAAAAAAAAATCTTATAAAATCATAAAATTAAAGATTATTATTTATCGTATTCAAAGGGAAAATACGAATGAGTAATATTGATTTATATATAATTCTTATAACATTGTAAAAATTTAAAATAAAATAGGTCGTTATACTCTCCCGACCTCCTCGCACTCTTTAACTTCCCTTTCCTCGGGTAATGCTAAGAACAGTAAAACTGATATTTGCAACATGGCGCGCAAACTATCTCTTTGTATGGGACGTGTCACTTCATTAATCCAAAATTCTAAAATTACGAAACTATTTTGTACTTATTTATGCTGTACGATTTCTAAATAATATACAATTTTTCTCGTTTATTATAAATTTACATCATATTTGAAGACGCGTCTTTTTATTAGCGGTCAAGAAAATATTTGCTTTTTACGTACATATAATTGACATTATTGCCGTTATTAGCTCTGTAGCTCAGCTTTTCTTCCCTTTCTTGGTCCTTTATAAAATCTTATAATTGTACATCGCTTTATTTTAAGTAAAATAAAACATAAAGGAGACTCTTTCATCAATTATAAAAGTTGAAATAACATTTCACTATTTTGCACAACAATATAGTTTTGCATTTGATTCGGGAGAAAGATAAATAATGTGGAAATTGAAAGGAGATATTTTTAGATAGGCTTAAAAATAACGAGATGTTTTATGTATATTTTTATAGATACATTTATTGTCAGTATTTTCTAATATATACTACATTATATATATGTACTAATGTTTGCTCATATAATATGTATATATTAGAAATGTGTACGCACGTATACGAACGCGTAACAGTTATTAAACTTACATTGACTACGTTGATATAGTAGATTAATAAATACACATAATATGTACAAATGCTTATAGTGTAATTTTTATGGCGTTTAAGGAGGATGTCCTATCTACTTCTCTTGCTTATCTACTATGGTACAGTATTCTGCATTTAATATTTGCATTATTAACTTTGTCTTTTTATAAAACTTCTACTATTCATTGGTTAAATAGCACAAGTGAGGGTGCAAAATACGATTAATGCAGCGGTATAAATGATTCATATTATCCTAGCTGATCTGTCGTAAGAAACTTCTAAAATGAGTATTATAATTCATATGTGCTAGCGCGATCGCTCTTTGAGAAACATTTGTTGAAAAAATTTGATAGAGGCTAAACCTAAATCTTAATCGGATTTATATAATTATACATAAATTTCATAATTATCTAATTGACGTACGCCAATTAACATCTGTATGGTTCACAAACATTTATCTTTATTCAAATTCAAAGCAGGGATTAAATCAAACGTAAAATCTACTTCAAATTACATTAATTAATTTGCACGAAGAGAAGCTTGCGCGATTAAGAAGCATAAGATTAATCTTTCAAATTCTGTAAAATGCCCAGCGATCTTATATTGTCTAAAAAGGAATAGAGACGCACTTTCATTTCTTTTCTCAAAGGATTCACTTGATCCTCGATTTTGCTACAATACAAACATTGAGATGCGTATTTTTAAATCTATAATATTCTATGTACAACTATATAAATCGTAAATTTAATCGTAGGTGCTTGATCATTAAAATAAACAAGTCTGAATTCAGATCACAAATAGCGTCTTTAATCTAATATATCCCGTAAATGCTAAAATACTGTCAGTGAAAAACTAAGATATTTTGGAGAGACGAACAATTATGACATTGTTCTCACGAATGGCGAAGAAATGGAAGAGTTACATTTTTTTATATAACTAGGAACTATTTACAGATTTTCTAATTACTTAGATTATCTCTAAAATTGTTGGGATATGTTCTATGTGCGATTTAACTGTTTCGCTATAAAATCACTATAGTGGCTATCCATTATGCGTTCGATCATTGCCAAGTGTGCCACTGTAGTAATTATATATACAAATATATTAATTTACGTGATGCGATAAAGTTATGCATTTTAATTCTATACATGAAAAAGAGTAATATCTATATAGGATTTCCGGCTTTTTTATTTGGTTCCGTGATTGTGTAAAAACATCCTGCGAGTAAAGCTTTCGTAATCGAGAAGTCAGTGCACCGCTTCCTCGCAAGGGTTTGGCATGGCAGCCAAATCTGTAGAATTAATATTCTTATATAAGAGTAAATTAAATTAAAATATTTATATTTACATATAGAGGCGTAACGAGTCGGCTCGAAGATCGATCTAATCTTTCACGTAGCTAAAAATTCTTTGATTGTTATGCTAGATTTATCGAAAACGATACTTCTATATATACTTTCGGCGTGTTTCTTGATTTCGTTACTTCTACGTTTTGTTTACTCTCGTTATAATTTAACGTTAATCTAATATTACAAAACATCGATAGAAAAGTTCCTCGATCAAATCGCGCGACTCTTTTCCTCCCAACACGCATCATGTAGAAAGCACAGTGTATGTGTACATTACTGTGATACATATTTACAAATTCCAAGATTTAGTAATACGAATTAATGATTGGTCCAATCATATTATTTCCGTGTTCAACAGAACGAAACAAAATTCTCAAAATTATACAAAACTGAATTTTATATAGAGCTTGCCATTGCGAATATATAATATCTTTTGACGTATCAGGACGAGATGTATTCATATTCTAAGTGAAGGACATTCTTACTGGACCACGAAATTTCTAGAACGTTCACCGAGAAGCTGTGTCGTCAGTATATATAGGCGAGATATATGATTCGCTGATCGCACAGATCACGGCTTTGTTCGGTCTATCATTAGTTTATAGTCAATACTGAGGATTCGGCGAGTTTCTTTGGAAGTTACTCTGCGCGCTCTGACTTTGCTGAAGAGGCCCGGCTGGACTCGGTCTTCCCTGATCGCGGTACTGCGGCGGCCCGTTGGGCGGGCCCGGGGGTCCAGTCACTTTGCCGTAATTTCCCCGCGTGGAACTCTGATAACTGCCGTACGCGGAGTCGTCACTGCGTCTCGACACGTGGCCGTACATGCTCTCGGGCCGCCTGGGATTCGCTCCGTTATCCGAGTTGCTTGATAACGGCCCATTTTGATGTGGCTGCTGCTGCTGTTGTTGCTGCTGCTGCTGCTGCTGCTGCTGCTGTTGCTGCGACGGCGGCTGTGGCGGCGGATGATTCTGTATCGAAGACTGACCGCTCTGACCGGATTGCTGCGAGTTTTGGCTGCCCGGCGGTGGTGCCGGCGCGCGACCGTAGATGGTGGATCCCGTGGATACTCCGTAGATACCGTTCTCCCGGGTGCTGAGACCCGTGGAGATCCCGCGGATGCCGTAGATGCTCTGCGTACATTGCTGCAGCTGATTCTGCATGTTCTGGTTGGTGCTGTTGTGATTTTGCGTCGACTGGTTCGGCGGACCGCCGAGTCCGGGTCCGGGCTGGGTTACCTCGCGGTTACCGTTTTGACAGCCGTTCTGACCCAGTCTAATGGGATACAGGCTCTGCGCTGGCACCAGCGGGCCCGGCTTCGGGATCATCAGGCCGTCTCGCGGCCCCGACGTCGACTTCGCGTAAACGCTCTGCGAGCGGTTCAGATTTGCGCGCGTCAACGGCGGCGATTTGCAGTAGAGCGACTTGGTGCCACCGTAGATCGACTCGACGCGCTCCAACGCGGACGGCGGCGCGCTGTAGATCGACGAGGACGCGCCGGCGACCGGGCGATAGGTCGCGTACGCGCCGGGGAATTTGGGCCCGTTCGGCTTGTCGAGGTCGTCGTACGTGTCCTCGTCGGACCTCATGGACGAGTTGTCGCCGTCGTCAATATCGCGCGAGTCCTTGGTGCGTCTGGGACTCAGGACGTATTCGTGCAGCAAAGCCGCCACAGCACCTCCCGACAGCGGGCCCACCCAGTAGACCCAGTGGTTGTCCCAGCGGTTCATTACGAAGGCCGGACCCAACGCGCGCGCTGGGTTCAGAAAAGGACTCTGAAAATTTGAGAAAAAATATTATTAATTATATTGTATATAATTGCGACGGTATATTTTTAAGAATAATTGTTCTTCTTGTTGAATAATCATGAATACTTGAATGTGTTTTTGTTGAAAATTTTTTGGAAAGTTGCAAAGTTACAAATAGTTATTTAAATATATATATCTCTCTCTCTTTCTTTAACAAATTGTAAAATTTTATTTCACATATATTACTACACGTCTGATTTTTATTGGGCGAGACAGCCAAACAAAGAAACGGGCGAAGATACTTAGGAATTTCGCACTGAAGGCAGTGAACTTGTTCGATTTTGCAAGGGGGATCAACATTCAACACGTGTGGAACGTTGGTTTCGACATTTTTCGTTTTGGGGTACATTGTACACTCGTTCCGGAGCAGGTGGGTCCAGGATCAAGTTCTTTCTTTCACCTCCCTGCTCGCCGTTCTTCGCGAGCCCACCCCTCTCCCTCATACAACGGCAGGTGCTCTTTAAAGATGCGGACGTCGGCCCGATTGGAAAGAGCCCGACAAACGCTTTTGGATAGAGAGTGGTTGCAAGAGACGACATGCACGGCGGAAGAAGAAAGCAAAGAACGCTGTTCTTTCATTAATTACGCGTATGCTTGTAAAAAAGGAAATACTTTTTCCTTACGAAGCGCGATTACTTAATACAGGAAAAATATAGGAACTTATAAAAAAGATTAGTTTATTACAAAGAATAGACAAATAATTATCTTGTTAATGATAATTTTAATGATAAAGGTCGTATAATAAAATATTAGATTGCATTGTGCATTATTAATAGCAAGAAAAACTTAAATTGTAAATTGAATTACATATATGTATTTTAACAATTTTATTATAATTATTAGAAGATCAAAGATATATTTTTCTAAATAAAATGTTATAAAAATAGACCAAACATATTGATATATAAAACACATTGCTAATAACATTTCTAATAATTTGTTATTGGTATAATAATCTAAACATATATCACATACATATATGTTATATCGTTCTGATAATTTGAATTTGTTATTTCAGAATCAGTTAAAGCTAACAATTGATATTGGATAAACTTTGAGCGTTCAGTCTCATATGCAGACACCAATGTTAACTGCTTATGCGTTATAAATCAAATATTTTTAACATAAATTTAAAATGTAAACATTACTTTCTATTATAATAATTATTATAATCAATATTGTAATAATTTCGTACAAACAAAAAGTCAAAAAACAATTTTAAAGTACGCTCTTATAATAAACTTTATAGCTAAGTTTTACTTTTTAGCTTGACAATGTAGATAAAACATGTATCTTAATCTCAAGTTTGATTACTAGGACTGAGCAATTAGAAACAAAGCTAACTGACTTAGCAAGATTTAAACAATATATCAATTATTATGTTTAGTAAAGGTTCACATGTGTCTCGTAGACCTTCCCCAAACAGTTTCACCCAATATTTTTCTTGGTAATCATGAAATATTGATATTTAGTAATACACGCTTCATGATACTAAGCGGATATAATGTCACGGTGAGAAACGAGTCCGATATGGAAGGATTTTAAAATGTTAAACAGTACTAAAGTAAAATGCAAGAATTAAGTGTAGTAATATTTATGCCAATAGGTTTAAGGTTTAACACTGCGAAAGAACACTTAATCGGACGCGAAATGTTTAATGATGAAGATTGTTTAAAATAGAAAAACGACACCTACGTACTTCGGCGACATTTCTCAAGAGAATACGGGTTTACATCACGTTGCAAACTATGTGGCAAATTACTTAAGAATACACATAAAAGATGTGTTATAGAGCAACATATATATTCCTGGAATTCCTGGCTTATTTAATATAATAGCTTTTATGTTAAAAAAGAGTAATTTAAATACAGAATCTAGTTAGCATCAGTTTTTTATATATTAAAATCTTTTATACACATGTAATCAAAAGATTTATTAACCAGTGTATAAAGATATAAAAAATGTTGAAACATTAGATTTAATTTGCAACTATAAGTTGGCGCTAGTTTTTGATGTCAAAATCTTTTTTACAAATGTTTGATGATGACGAGGAACGCGTGTACTTGGCGCCATTTTTTTTTTTTATCTCTTTTAAATAGGTACAATTTTGTAAATAACATAATGACAATAGACTCATTAAAAGTTATAATTGACTATTGATTTAACGATAGAAAAATTATTGCATCTTGCAATCTGTTACTCTACTTTATAATCCTTTTTATTAAAACTATGTAATTAAATAATCATAAAAAATAAACTTACGAAAACGAGAGTAGCTGCTGTATAGGCCGCGGCCAAAACTGCGGAGGCTTTCGAAGAAATCGTAGGTGGCAATGATCTAGGTGAGTCCACCGCGAAATGGGCTAGCACGATAAGCACCGATAGTGCTATCTCGATCAAAAGCCTCTCGATTGCACCAACTAGCCGACCGTGGGACAGCAGGGTCTGCGTATTCGAAGGTATAGTTACTCTGAAATTGAAAAAAGACGGATTCGATAAATATTGATTTATCTATTAACTTAGATATTGATATGTTCCGCTTGAATATAAAACTAGCCACAATTACATCACGTATAACTAGATTTAATCTATCTGACAATGAGATATTATGTATTATTAGGAATATTATCAGAAATTATATTTACATATCTTATCGTAATTTTTAAAACTCTCTTGCAAGACACGATCGTATAAAAAGATAAAAATAATTTCTTCAGAAAAAGAAAATTATCGATCGTTCGGCAAAAATGATCACATATGGCCTCCTGTATGGCGGTAGCGTCAGTATGTAGAAGTTATATCGCAACCGCAATATAATATACGATGATTTTCCTATTGAAGCTTGCAGCGAGACATGCGCCCTGCATAAAAACCCCCTGCGGTAAGTCGGTCCCAGCGGTGTAATGTTTATATTAGCTAGTGCATCTTCGAGCCCTTAAACGCGACCCCGATGTTTCCTCTCGTGACGTTTCCCTTGCATAAAATTCTCGTTGATTTTCTCAGTCCATATAATCATATGGGGTCGCAGAGATGTGACCTCCAATCGTATCCCACGAGTGCTCATACCGGTCGCATTTCACACTTCCGAACTCAAGTTTGTTTGTCGATGATGCAAAAATGTACATCAAATGCAATCCCGTTGCAATGTAATTCAATGTTTTTACGGAAAAAAGCTGCAGCAATTTTTTCCAATAAACTTTAGATAATTAATTCAAACTTATTTCAAGTTCAACTTATTTTTTAAGATTAACTTTCATAAATCTGTAAAAAGAAGGTAAAGTTGTGCTGCACAAAAAAAGGATACAAAAAATTTTAATTTTTATGTTTTTATCGTTAATTATCCTACACAAGATTTCTTTTTGTTTTAATTTTTTACATTCATTTGTTTGATGAATGTTTTTTTAAATATATCTCTTCACTTGTATGGACTATGCAAGTAATTTTATTCAGTCAAATTCCTTGAGTATAGCATTCACAAATTTCACTGAAATTACGTCTCTCGCATTTTTCTATCCTCTTTGCGATATTTCATCGGGGTTTACACACAACGTGACAAAAGCACAAAGATGCGGAAGTGTTTGTGATTTTAACTTGACATCTATTTAATAACAAATAAAAATAAAAATAGATATTTGCGAAATATTCAAAGAAATTATTAAATTGTCCTTTCTCCTTGTCTTTTTTGTGTTTTAGCTTTATATTCAATTTAATATCGCATTAACATTGTCTTTTCTGGGAATATTTTTTCCTCATCTCTTTGTCAAGCCCATTTTGGATTTTCATCTAAATTTTAATGATAATTCTTTTTTACCAACTTATAATTAATCTTTTCTGTTTCTAAAACTGAAATCGAACCTTCTTCAAACGCATATTGCACAGACGCCGCTAAATAGAATAAACTCATCCGGTAACATCTATACTCACAGAATTTCTACGGGACTATACACCTGTGCGGTTCTCGCCCTTCGCAACTTTGTCCCGTGGGTTATTTGATCGCACGATCGCGATTAATCTCACCGCTAAATACTGGGTTCGAGTTGCAATTCGCCGCCCCTCGCATTCTTCCTCCTCATCAGACACGAAAACACCCCGTCTCAACACCGCAGTCGCGATGCAAATGACAATACTCGCTCCCCTTCCCGTCCTCTCTCCTTTCTCTTCGTCGAGCGTGTCACGAGAGAACGAATTGATGAAATCAGAAATGCAGATCATGACCGCACAATTGGGATCAACTGTGGCAGCAGACGAGAGCTTCCCCAATCGGCTAAGGGAGAAAAGAGCGGCAGCATTTTTATATTTACACGCGTGCCCTCGCGTGATAAGCGGATTTTTACTTCTTCTGCGAAAAAATCGTCCAGCAATATGTGTTTCCCACGTGGATACGTTACGCTGCGATCAACGTGCGAATGCACGAGAACGATAACGTATATTTTGTTTCTCTGTATGATTTTGCTAAATATAATTCTGTCGAAAAGCTCTGTGAAAAGTTGCGAAGGCCGAGAATGTTCAGTGCACAGAATGTTCAGTAAATGCGTATAGTGTAGGTAAAGTATAATATTTAGCAATTTCTTTCCCCCCCCCCCTCTCTCTCTCTCTCTCTCTCATTAACGGTCTCTTAAAAAGCCGACTTTTTCAACAACTGCCAAATGACGATAGCATGAATTAACTGAATGCGGAGCTCTTTAATCTTTCGTATCATTATTTAAACACCTTTTACTTTTTACGAGTTACGAGACGCTTCTTCCTATCTATTTGTCTCGATTTATTTAACTCCATTTTTTGTGCATTTTATGAGCTGAACCTTATTACCTCGAGAACATTTTTCTAAAACGTATCATTTTCAAATAAAATGAGACTGTGGCATCTATTTTCTAAGAAAATTGTTCTATCGTACGTTTAAATATTAGAACTCAGAATAAAACTTTTAAGCTTTAATACAATCGATATCATTTTGATGTTACATTTTTACATAAGTGACTTCAGGGAATGATTCGCTCTACTTTAAAATCATCAAGCTTTAACATTTTTTGTGTGTCTTCGAGCTACTGTGTTGGTGATACATGGTGATATTTAGATATTCTGTTCAACTGGATTATTTTGCGTATGATACGCTTATTGTCGTTGCTGGCTCTCGCGAAAAGAATGGCGATCTCGCAATGAAAGGCGAGTCGAATGCATGCGAGGAGTAGCTTCATGGGAGAAATTCGACGAGGTTTTGGCCCGAAGGCGGGCGCGTTCTCAGGGCTCATCGTGCGTGATGAAAAGCGCGTGGTCATCCAGGCGAGACATGATGGAGGAAGGTTTAATCTTGCGTGCACTTGACTCGAGAGCCGCAGCAGCCAGTGCCCGATGCAACCTGTGCACCGTTTTCGCGATTCACACGAGGGGGTGCAAGAGAGACGCCTCTCTCTCTCTCTCTCTCTCGGATCAAACCCCAAGGGTACGTACGTCGGTGCGCCCGTTTTAAATAAATTTCAATTCATTCAAGGGGGACGGGAGGATGAACGGGGGTAGGATATGTATCACTCCGAATCCACCCTCCGTTACGATTAACGAGCTATTGATACCCCCTTCCGCGTGCTGGACCACGGATCCCCCTTCTCGAACCTTGTCGAGACGTGATCAACCACCCCCCTCCCCCCTCTGCCCCCGATCCGCCTTCCACTGAACCGAATTCTGGACACTCCAAACCGCTTCAGAATCCCCTTGTACGAGGAATATCGCACATGTGACGAGCGCGATAAACGACGAAAACTCAAAGGGCCCGGAGATGATGCGTCCGCTTCGATACCATTATAAAGTCTTGGGAAAGCTCAGATGTTGAGGTTAACATGGTCAAACCATGAAATTAGGACGTAGGATGAACCGTAAAGTCGTTACTGGGAAGGCGACGAAGGAGGGTGGATGACGATGGATTTGGTTTCGTTGCGAACAAAATCGAAGATCCGTGTATTGAGTCTGCATAATTCGCACAATGCAACGTTTTAACTTAATAAGAGAAAGAATAAACTTGATTTAAAAAAAATTGGAATAGAATACTTTAAATAGTAATATATCTATAAATATTATTCTAAATTTGAAACTTTAAATAATTATATTTAAAAATATCGCAGAAAAGTAATAAATTTTTTAACAAATTCAATTTGTTCTTTCTTTTTAACATCTAAATGCTTGATTCAGGTAATTAATTTTATTTGATTATCGTCAATGTCTCAACGTATCTTAAGAACTGATGGATATTTTACTCTAGTAGAGCTAACGCGTCGCGAGCTGCAAACTAGAATAGTTTCCAACGTGCGATTACTAGGATATATCTTCCTTCTCGGGATAAGTGCGTTTTACGAAGATGAAACGATGAGAGAACGTAGAGAATGCCCGCGTATATAGCTTCAGTGGGAACCGGACCCGTATCGAATGACCGTGGGAGCAATGCATAAACGTCAAAATGCTGAAATTATTACTCGGCACGTTATTATTGTAATCCCTCCGGGCGCGCCGTACACCAGGTTCATCATCATCATCATCCGAGTCTTCTGCGTGTCCCATTATTACAATAGCTCGCCTCGGCCGCCATGGGTTTTCTTGCGCCCGATGCACGTCCGCCTACTTTTACGTTCTCCTTTCTCACTTTCAAGAAACTGGCGTACCGCCCGCGCCGCCAGGACCCGGGACCCGGGACCGGGTACATATACGCGGACCGATGATTTCGGGTTTCATCTTTCGCGTTCGATGCGGTTTCTTGCGCGAGGTGTGTGTGTGTGTGTGTGTGTGTGTGTGTGTGTGTGTGTGTGGGCGCGCGCGCACCGTACAAAGCACAGGAATTTCTATGAAAGGGAGCGAAGCGTATATCGGAGAAACAGGTCGCCCTGCAATTCCGCCCTCCCGTATTGTTTATGTTTGAAAGGTAGAGACAGGAAGCGCGCGTACGCCGCGGCGATTAAAATATACCAGCGCGAATTCGCCTACGCACAACCCGCGCCCATTCATTTTTCCTCTCGAAGCGAATTGTGATGACACGTAATTTACCTCGGCCGTCATTGAAACGTGCAACCCGACGCATTATTATCCTTACGACAATTCATAACTCTTTCCTGGTTTCTCGACGTGCAATAGTAAAGAGATGTTTCCTTCTCTCTTGAGAAAAAACACACAGTGATGATAATAATATATATTTTCTTTTTCTACACGTCTTCACTTATTCAAATGGTCTCTTAAAATCCTAATGACGTAATAATACTACAATAAATCATCGACTGTAGGTCTAATTGCAAAGCGAAAACATTTTTAATGTGCGCGAAAGAAAAGGAAGTTGCATGGATTAAACGAAACCTCAGACAAAGCGGCGTAGTGAGCTGCGAGGTAGTAATACTGCGGAAATGGCAGGGTCAAGAGATAATTGTCGGTATCCCTCCTCAAGACGGCCATAAAGGAACAGACTGCGAGAGCAATGCGGTCATTTGTGCTGAGTCT